TTGTCATCATCAAAAAGGGGGAGATTGTTGAATCTCAGATTTTGATGATGAAGTCAATTGTCATTTGTTATCTAATCTATATGTTGAGATAAGTGTGCAGGATTAACTACGATGAAAATAAGATATGCAGTAGGAGTTGCGCCGGAGTCAAGACAATGATCACGTTGAGAGTTCGAGAGTTCGACGGAAGTTCGGACAGTCGTCGGAGGTTTTGCGGGAACAAATCCGAGAAGTCCATGAGCTTGCCAAAGAAGCTCGTCGGAACTCGCCAAGTGGATCGTCGCAAGTCCAGGAGTTTGCCGGAAGTCCGCAGGAGCATCATCGAGGGTTCATCGGATGATCGACGGAAGTTCGTCGGAAGCTCACCGGAAGAAGCGATTGACGCACCGGAGCAAGTTGCAGTAAATGTCTTAGGAAATATCGTAGTTAGCATAATGATTAAGTTGGAAATGGGAGGTGATCCAATTAACTTAATCTTGGGGCAATTGGGCCCTTGAAAAACCCAAATTGGGCCGAATGGATCAACCCATTCGGACCCTGATTTCTGTCAGGCAGTTAAACCGCCAAAGCCAGGCGGTGGCACCGCTTGAGCTCAGTCTCCGAGCGAGACTGGGCGGTGCAACCGCCTCAGTCAGGCAGTGCAACCGCCTCAGTCAGGCGGTGCAACCGCTAGATCCCGGAATTCCGGAAATTGATAGTTTTGAGCTCCAAATTCAAACTGGGTTGGGGCCTCTAAATACCCCACCCATTCTGCACTGAAAGGTAACTCAAAACACACCGAAATCCTGATCTTATTCTGTGATTCTTAGAGCTCAAAATTATTGTAAAGGCCAAAAGTTCCTCTCCCTCTTTTCTTCCAAGTTCTGATCTTTAAAGAGAGAAGAGAAAATTCTGTAAGGGTTGTCTCCTAAGCCCGTCAAAAGGAGTGAAACTGTAAAAGGGTGGTTGGCCTTCGCCTATTGAAGGAAGTCCTCTAGTTGACGTCGGTGACCTCGTCGGTGGAGGAAGCCAAAAGTAGAGTAGGTCAAGATTGACCGAACCACTCTAAATCTCGGTTTGCATTTACTTTGAGCATATTATCTTTACTGTAAACCTCCTCAAAAGCTTACTGCTTTCTACGATTGGGTTTCAAGCTTTGCACTTTCCGAATCGGCATTTAGACGTAAATCAGTTTTATCGTACGATCATCATATTTCAGTTTGCGCTTACGTTTTGATTTCTATCATAATTGCAAACTACCTTTATATCCTTGCTTTAACTGCATCTCGCTTAATCAAGTGATTTACGAATCATCATTTAGACGTAAATCAGTCTTTTCGTACGAATATCATATTTCAGTTTTCGCCTACTATCTGATTTGAACCATAACTGCAAACTACATTTATATCTTTGCTGCATCTCGCTTAATCAAAAGTTAAAGTGATTTATGAATCAGCTTTCTTACTGAAATCACTTTTATCGTACGAACACTTTTTAATCGTCGAAAGTTTTCCGCTGCACTAATTCACCCCCCTCTTAGTGCTCTTGATCCTAACACCTACGTCACTCAAAACGTAGATCAAATCATAAATACTATCAAATGGTTTCATCATCAAAATCTGAGATTCAATAAGTATCATCGCCCAGACTAGCAGTACCACCGCCTAACATAGTCTCGAAGACTATGCCATGACAGTTTTACCTGTTGGGTCACTGTTTGGTCCTTTTCACTTGGCCCAACACAGTACAAACTTGGGCTCAATTTTTCCCTAATTGAGTTGGCCCAATTCCAACCCAATTATGTGCTAACTACGAATTTTAAGGCATACACTGAGCTAAATAAGCCCGGTAAGTCTAGTTTTCTTTCGGCGATCTTCCGACGATCTCTCGGCAATGTTCCAACGGACTCCTAGCAAGCTCCTAGACTTCACGATGATCTTTTTGGTGAGTTTCGATGAGCTTCTTTGGCAAGCTCCTGGACTTCTCGGTCAATTCCGGTAGAACTCCCGATGAACGTCCGAACTTCCGACGAACTCTTGAACTACCAACGAAGTCTTATTATTGACTCTAGGACTTCATTTTGCTTTATGTCTTGATCGATATCATAGTTAATCCTACACACTTAAAACCTACTTTGATCTAGATAATTATTATAAAGCTAATCAAATGTTGTCCTGCATGTCATTGGTTCATCAGCACTCCGTCCGAATCTTCGGCGCATCGTCCTCTCTTGTGGCCTATTGCCCAATCGACCAGTTGACATCTGCAACTCCGATATCCTTGGCACAATTTTCGCTCTTCTTAGCCTGATGCCCGAACTCATGGCCCGAAGCCTTCTGTCGATACGTCGATCGATCCTCCGGCTCGACGTCCAATCTTCTGACATGTTCCACTCCGGCCCAATATGATTCTTCCTACTTTTAATTGTCTCTCCCTAATCGAAGCTTCCTGCGTCACTCAAAACGTAAATCAAATCATAAATACTATCAATTTATTTCATCATCAAAATCTAAGATTCAACAACCACCACCTGACACTGGGCGGTACCATCACCCAATCTAGCGGTACTACCACCTGACACAGTCTCGGAGACTTTGTATTGGAGACTAAGCCTTTGGTAGTACCACCACTTGGACCGACGATGCCACCGCTTGACCCAAATTTTGGGTCACTGAATGGGTCATTTTCTTAACCCAAAATAGCCATTCTTTGGGCCTAGTTTGCCTCTAATCAAGTTAGCCTAATTACATTCTAAACCAATCCAATTAAAATTAAAACTATTTCAATCTAGACAATTATTACAAAGCATTAATCACATGTTGTCTGGCATATCATTGGTTCATCAGCACTTCGTCCAATTTTTTGGCATATCATCCTCTTTTGTGGCTTTTTGCCTAATCGGCATGTTAACCTTCATAATTCCGATCTCCTTAGCACAATGTCCGCTCTTCTAGGCCCGATACCCGAACTCATGGTATGAAGTCTTCTACTGACTTATCGACCGATCCTTCAACTCAACGTCCAGTCTTCTTACATGTTCCACTCCGGTCCAACATTTATTCTTCCTGCTTTAATTGTCTCTTTATAATCGAAGCAAGTCCTACGTCATTTAAACGCACATTAGATCATTACTTTATCAATTAGTTTCATCATTCAAATATGAGATTCAACACCTAACACTTCTTCATCCAGACTCCCTCCTTTGTTGTCTCTGCTGCAACAATGTACTCCACCTCTATAGTTGAGTTAGCAGTAATATCTTGCTTGGAACTCTTTTAGTATACTACTCCTCCATTCAAGGTGAACACATACCCTAAATTAGATTTACTATCATTAACATCGAACTGGAAACTCAAGTCCGTGTAGCCCTCAACCCTGAGGTTACTTCCTCCATATACCAGTAAAAGATTCTTAGTCCTTCTCAAGTACTTAAGGATAGACTTTATTGCTTTTGAGTGCTCTAAGCCTGGATCCGCTTGATACCAGCTTGTGACACTCAAAGCATACGCTATATTAGACCTTGTACATAGCATAACGTACATGATAAACCCTATCGCTGAGGCATAAGGTATCCTATCCTTGTTTGTCCTTTCTTCAGGAGTCTTTAGGGATATACTCCTAGAAAGCGATATCGCATGTCTTATCGGTATGAGACCTCTCTTGAAATTTTTCATGCCAAACCTTTTGACAATATCGTCTATGTACCTAGATTGGAACAAGCCAAGCATCCTCTTGGATCTATCTCTATATATCCGAATCCCTAAGATATAGGATGCTTCCCCTAAGTCCTTTATGGAGAAATGTCTAGATAGTCAAGCCATTACTATGAAGAGCATTTATACATCATTTCCAATTATCATAATGTCATCTACATACAACACCAAGAAGTTGATAGCTCTCCCACTTACCTTCCTATACACACAAGGCTCATCTTCATCAGGGTCACCCTCATGTCATTGAATATACACTAGTATTGCGTCGACATTTGCATTAAGGTAGATGCATCCACATACAAAAAGATTGGCTAATGCTCCCTTGAATGGAAGTACTATAGATCAAGGGCAAGCCTCCTTGCTCGGGTGTTTGTTAAGAGAGTTGGTATACAGAAATTCCTATGGCATCTCCTTCTAGCGACAAAAATATTAGGAAAAATAATTATTGACATCTTGGTCAGCCCGACATGGTTCGAACCTATACTCACAGGATTGTCCGAGGTGTCTCTGAGATAAAAAATATCGAGCTCCCAATGTGCCACATACATGAAGACCGAGGTCAGAAGAGGTTTCTTGACCAGGTCCATCTGATGCCCAAGTTTGTAACTCGAGATGTGTGAATGCAAACATGAGTGGTCGAGCCAAGTCCTCCAAAAAGGTTAGTTTGTCCTATTTTATTATACTTATCTTCACGATGAGTGTTTATACCTAGTTAAATGGTAAATAGAAAATTGCTCATAAAAGATAAAAAGGAAGCTCGTGATTATCTTTCTTATTATAAAGAGTAGGAAACAAACTTACGATTTTCTGCTTTGGATCTTCGTCCATATGAGCAGACAGGTGAAGGGATGACCTTCGTCTTCTTTTCCCTCTCTAGATATCACATGACGATTATAGATGATGATTAGTCGATAATTATTTTCCTATCAATTTAAATGTATGATACAAATTCAAATAATTTTAGGTGAGTATTAGCAAGGAGAAAATTCATAACATTATCTGATGTCATGTTAAAGAACCGATTAGGTGACTATTAATTTGAAATTTTTAAGCTGTCATGAAAAGACGAAATTATTTATAGCCTTCAATAATATCTTTGCAGGTAATCAGAAAACAAAACAAATAACAGAAATTTGGAAATTCAACTTGATATTCTAGAAAAGTTGACGATGAATCCAAGTGTCAGTGACCGGTTACATGAAACATGCTGCATCTACAATATAATACTGTTGTATACACCATTTTGTGTTGTGATATACCATTTTATACCAACCAAAACATTAAGAAACAGATATCAATGGAGATAAATAAATGCATGTCTCTCCTGCAGGAACCAATCATTTCTTTCCATAAGTACATCACCATCTAAAGCATTAGTTTCCTTCATATTTTGGATCTGCCAACCATGTTATGCTAAGCAACATTAAGATGCCAAGAAGTTTCATATTTGTTGTAGTTTCTGTGTACGTATCTGAATACTTCTGATAGTTACACTGATACACCACGTGAAATCTACATGACAAAAGATGCTTATTCATTGTCATCAGTTGAAGAACCACTTTAGCTTCCGCATGATGAATCTTCGAGTTTTTTGAAGAATCGATTGCTTCTTCCTCACCTCCTTCTCACTGCTTTGCCTTCTTGCTCTCCTTCTCGGTTGCTGGTAGTATCCTTCAGTCTCTTTCAGCTTCCCTTGCAGTGGAGAAGCTTTGGTTTTGGTTTTCTTACCTGCTTCTAAGTGTGCTTCTTTCGACATGACTCCTGCTATTTCCCTCTCTCTTTGAAGAGCCTGCAGTCGTTGCAATGCATTAGCCTTTCTATCTGCTGCTGCACAACGCTTGCCATCCCACCATACAATCCGAGAACTTGCTGCTGCAGCCTCTTCCTCCATTCTCCTGCACATCACATTGTATTCTTCATGTGAGAGAGCTATCATCTTGTGATCCGCTCTCAGATGTTTTGCTTGATGCAGAGTGGCATCCACTGATTCATTTACTGCTTCCATCTCCATGTCAATCGCTCTCAACTTAAGTTGCAAGGCTTTCAGCAACTGGCTTTTGATTTGAAGCTTCATCTTTACCTTGTTCCTAGATGCACCCATCTCTTCCATCTCCACCTTCAGGCTCTCCATCTCCTCACGTCTCCTGTGGGCTTCTTGACGCATCTCTGCAGCTGCCATCTTAGAGTTGCTCTCCTCTGCTTGTTTATGTCTGATGCTTCTGCCAGTGGAGTTGAGCAGGGAGCAGAGCGATGCAATGGCTGTGGTGTACATGGTAACTCTGTTTCTGGTTCTTGAGAGGACAGATCTAGAACTTTCGAGCTCATCAATGGAGGGCATGGAGTCTATCCAGGATTGCACCGCACTTTCCCGAGCTCTCTTGATCTCCTCTCTCGTCCGTACCAATTCCTCCAATGTGATATCCAGTGAATGCTTGTTCGGCATTCTATCTGCAGGATTGGTACTGCATTCTTCCATCCTCTCCTCGATAAATAACAGGCAGAGTATTCAGGCAACTATAGGAACTTGTTGATGAACTTTGCTCTGTGATAGAACCAATGCTGAATTCGTCTTTTATGGTTTCTTACAAACCTGGTATGTAATTTTCTATTGCTTTTTAATATTGAAGTAGGTTGGTGATGAATACTAAGCATTCAAGACATTTCCATACGTTGGTTTGAATGTCATACTCAATCTGTTTGGATCTTTTGTGAAAGAGATTACTTTTGTCTAATCTGCATGTTTGAGGAAACATAGAAATATGGGAACATAATTTTCTGGAGGTTTAGAGAACCATTCCAAACTAGCACAGAGAACTGTGGAAGTTTAAACTTGATTGGATATATTGTGGTTCTCAAAATCCAGTCTATAGCCGCATGGCTACATGCATGTTAATGTTCTTAGAGGTTAAAAAAATATCAAACTCCAATGAAAAAGTTGACAATGGGCATTTGAGCCATTGAGGATACTCATTCAACTAGCTAATTTGTCATAACATCATCGAATCAAAGTGTAAGATTTTCTCATAATAGTCTGAATATAATAGATAAATATTCTCATAAACCAGACCATTGGGATTTCAATGCTATAAAAAGGGTATTTCCTCATATGTAACAGGAAACTATTTTTTTTCAATGTGGACTCCACTATACATATTTTGGGTGCTCCTGTGCCTCTATTTGTGCATGTCTTTAAGCTTGGCCAATTCCTTCTTGCCGATGCTATCTTCACACCCACCTCAAGTACTTCTTAACTCCAAAATATTTGGACAAAGTCCCTAGAAAAGCTTCTATTTTTAACTTTGCTCCTTGTAGAGCACTCCCATATAGGTTCTTTCTCGGACAACTAATTTATCTTTTTATTCCTTTTCCTCCATTCTAAGTTAAAACCAAATGAACCATATCATTGCACCACTTAACTCAATATTAGAGTGGTCTTAAATTAATAATATTCAATAAAATCAAATAATATTAATATATTTTCACTTATATCAACAAAAATATAAAATAATTATAAAATTAAACTTAAGATTAAAAATAAATTATTTTAAAAATAAAATTTTATTAAATAATAATATAATCTAATATTATTTAATATTGACAAAATATAATATAATGATATTATTTGTATATTTTTTATGAATAACATTAATGTCATTAAATAAACTAACAAATGATAAATATTAATTCTAAAAAAATTTAAAATTTTAGGATAGTTTAAAAGATAACTTACAAAGGTCTAACTGATCCTTTTTTTTTATTTTTAAACTTTTAAAATAGGTATTTTCTATTTATTTCAGCCGTTAAAAGCATGAAATTAGTCTTTTTTTAATTTTACCTAATTTAAGATGAATTTACAACTCCTTTGGGATAAAAACCACATAAATATTATTATAGAAGGTCTTCTTTAAGCCTTTAAAATAGGAAGCATGAAATTAGGAAGCTTTACAAATAACTTACAAAGTTATAAATACCATTCTTTAAGCCTTTAAAATAGCTATTTTTATATATTTTAGCCTTTAAAAGCATGAACTTATGTCATTTTCTTAATTTCATTCAATTTAAGGTAAATCTACCACCCTTTGGACAACAACCAACGAAGTTTTAAGGACATTAAAAAATTTTTGAAGACCTAAGACTAAATCACACTGTTTTTAAATGAGATTCCACCATTTTTTGGATTCTATTTAAAACAACATAACCTCATTAAAAAATAGTATTACTCACGTCCCACTTTTATAACAAAATGTTAAAAAAGATATTTTTACCTATTTCAGTCCTTTACAAATATAAAATAATGTTGTTTTTTAATTACCCAATTTAAGATGAATTTATCATCCTTTTGGGATAAAAACTTGAATGTTATTATAAAAGGTTTTTAAAGTTTTATGGTAAATTTTTGGAGACTTGAGTTACACTAATAATGGGTTCTATTATAAAATAGTGTAAACTCATTCAAAAATAATTTACCTCACATCTCACTTTTTCAAAAAAAATCTCAAATTTTCTTAACCTACAAATAACTTCTAACAACCTAAATATGTATATTTTATCTATTCTAGCCCTTTAAAAGCATGAAATTATGTCATTTTTCCAATTTAAATTTACTACCTCTTTGGGATAAAAATTACTTGAATATTATTAGAGAAGGTTTTCTAAATTTTGAAGGACACGAAAGACTGTCTGTGGGACTTATTCAAAAACAATATAATCTCATTCAAAAATAGTGTAACTTATAATCTACCTTTTTCAAAATTTCTTAAATTTTAGAAAACCTTAAAAATAACTTATAAAGGTCTAAATGACTATTTTGTATTTTTAAACCTTTATAATACTTTTTTTATTTATTTCAAGCCTTTAAAAGCATGAAATAATATCTTTTTTCATGTTATCCAACTCAAGATGAATTTACCACCTCTTTCGGATAAAAACCACTTAAATATTATTATAGGTTTTCTGAAGTTCGAAGGATACAAAACTTTTTTTAAAAAAAACCCGACCTAGTTTTTTAAATGGAGTACACTGTTTTTGGATCCTATTCAAAAACAGTGCAACCTCGTTAAAAAAATATATAACATCTCACTTTTCTTTCAAAAGTCTTCAATTTTTAGAAAACCTTGCAAATAACTTACAAAGGCCTAGTTGACCATTTTTTTCTATTTTTATGCCTTCAAAGAAAAAAACTTTCAGCCCTTTAAAAGCATGAATTTATGTTTTTTTTAGTATTACCCAATTTAAGTTTAATTCACCACCCCTTTGGGACAAAATCCTTGAAAATTATTATAGAATGTTTTCTGAAGTTTTAAGGACACAAAAAAAAAATTTGAAGATTTGAGTTACACTATTTTTTGATAGAGGGTCATACTGTTTCTGAGTCTAATCTAAAAAATTATAGCCCATATTTTACTTTTTCCATAAAATATCAAATTTTTAGGAAACTGACAAATAACTTATAAAGGTCAAAATGATTTTTTTTTCTATTTTAAACCTTAAAAATAGATATTTTATTTATTTTAATCATTAAAAGCTTGAAATATGCTTCTTTTTAATTTTAGCCAATATAAGGTAAATTTACAACCTTTTATAGAAGGTCTTTTAAAATTTTGAGGATATAAAAAAAATTGGATACCTGAGTTATATGGGGTTTGGGTCATATTCAATATAACCTCATTCAAAAAACCCAAAGAAATTACTCACAAAGGTCTAAATAATTATTTTTTTATTTTAGACCTTTAAAGTAGATTTTTATTTTTCGTGAAATTATGTTATTTTTAAATTTTACATAATTTAAGGTGAATTTAAAATTTGTATAGAAACAAACCACATGAATATTATTATAGAAGGTCTTTTGATGTTTAATGACATAGAGTTTTGGATATTTGGATATCTTAGTTACATTGTTTTTAATAAAACTATACTATTTTTTAGTCCTTTTTAAAAATAGTATGCCTATATAAAATAGTGTAATTCACAACCCACTTTTTTTAAAAATTCCCAAATTTTATAAAAAAACTTGCAAATATCATACAAAGGAATGATTTCAATAGGCGCTCAAGCGCTCGCCTAGACGCTCGGGCGAGGCAAGGTGAGGCCCGAGCGCCTCACTTCATTTTCAGACAACGCACTTCAAAGAGGCATCACCTAGGCTCGGGTGCTTCGGGCGAGCGCCTGGGTTAAACCAGGCGACCGAAATAACATTTTAAGTCTGGTTCGATCTCCGACGCTTTAATTGGTTCAATCGAACCAACTAAAGCACAGATATCAATGCGACTTCGCCAACCCTAACCCTGCTCATCGTTCACGTTGTCGCTGATCCCACTCCTGCTCCTGCTCCTACTCCCGCTCCTCACTGCTACCGCTGCCACTGTCGCCGCTCGCCGCTCTCGCTATCGCTGCTCGCTGCTACCGTTGCTACTGTCTCCACTCGCCGCTCCCGCTACCATTGCTCGCTGCTGTCGCTACCACTGTTGCTGCTTGCCACTCCCGCTATGGCTGCTACTGCTCGTTGCCACTGTAGCCACTCGCCGCTCCCGTTGCTCGCTGCTACTGCTACCACTGCCACTGTCGTCGCTCGCCGCTGTTGCTCCCGCTTTTCTCAGTCAGCACCCTCGATCTTCCCTTACACTCTTCTCTTCTCTTTCAATAGTATATTGTTAATAATATACAGTATACTGTTAACTGTATCCTAGTAACAGTATTTGTATTTATTAGATTAATAATATATTATTTTGATTTTAATACTATTAATTTTTATTTATTTGAAATTATTGTTAGGTTTTAGGATAAATAGAGTCTCTAATGACATCAAAAAAAGATCCAGCATGGAAATATAATTATCTAAATGATCCGAAAGATCCTAATACAATGACTTGCATGTTCTGCAATAAAATATAATCAAGCTTTGAAGGCTCGTCATGATTTGCAAAATAGAATTTATCAAATCTCATTACAAGATATTGATGATTCAAATGAGTGGTTGGTGGGAGAAATGAATGTCAACTTGCAAGATGCCGAAAACGAGCTTATATTTAAATATGATAGATTGACATGGGGAGATATGGCAAGAGCTTCAGGTGCTGGAGAATTATAAACATACAAGACAAATGACAAAGAAAAAAAGAGTGAAAAAGCATCAAGCTCAACTCCTACTATTGTTGAAGACATAGAGAATGAAACATATTTTGATAAAGAGGAAGGACAAAAGGAAGAAGACGAATTCAATGAAGATGATTTGTATGAAAATGACGATAATATTGATTATAATAAATGACTTTGATGTAAAATTTTATTGTTTTGAATTTTGAGACTTTTTGTTAATGTGACATTATGATTTTATAACTTAGATTTTCTTAATTTAATAACATATTTTTTATTTAAAATTTTAAATAATTATATTTATTAATTATATTATATATTTTTATATTTTAACGCCTCGCTTCGCTTGGGCGAGCGCCTAACGCCTCGGGCATTTTTGGACCTTGGCGTCTAGCATTTTTTAAATCACTGGTACAAAGGACTAAATGATCATTTTTTTATTTTTACGCTCTTAAAATAGATATTTATTTATTCAACTCTTGAGAGAATAAAATTATTATTTTTAATTTTACCTAATTTAAACTAAATTTACCACCCCTTTAGGACAAAAACCACTTGAATATTATTATAAAAAAATTTTAAAATATAAAACATTTTTGAAGTCATGAGTTACATAGGTTTTGAATAGGAATGGGTTACCGTGTTTTTGGGTTCTATTCAAAATAGTGACCAGTTTAAATACAGTATAACTTATCTTTTATATTTTCTAAAAAATCCTATATTTTCAAGAAATATTGGAAGTGACCTACAAAAGCCTAAATGACATTTTTTATATTTTTAAACCTTTAAAATGGTTATTTTTTATTTATCTCAGTCCTTAAAACTTGAAATTATGTTATTATTTTGTGGAAATTATTATAATTTTAACATTAAATTTATGTTTTTTTTATTTTTATTATTATAAATATAAATATAAATATAAATTATATTATTTAATTTATTATCTATTATTTATATTTTGGATCAATCTGAGTTTTGGCTTACTTAAACAGATTCGATTGAATTAGTTGGTTCATAAGAATGTGAACCATAAGGAAAAATGTACTGTCTTAGCTCTTATCTTCCACCTCGGATGGACGATCTCAATTTGTCTCATCCTATAAAATGAATAACTTGTATGCCTATTTAGTATGTAAATTTTTAGCATGGATAAAGCATATCTGCATAATTGTTTTTCCTCTTCGTTAATTATTTATAAATATGTCCACTTGAAATTGAGATTGTTTTCACTTGCCATCAAGGAATTGCCAGTGTTTACACTCTTCCTAAGCCATGCATTAGTGGGAATCCCATGCAGTTAAAGCAACAAGTTTCATGTTTGGTTGATCATTTGTAAGTTATATGACTGGAGTCCAAAATCATAAAAATAACCTCTCACCTCTTTGCTTGTGAAGATTGTAGTTATGTTAAACCTTCCTAAATCTCACATTGGCAAGACCCTCGTGAGGTGGTTCATCTCTTTTTTTTTTAGGCAGACACTAAATTTGATTAAACTCACCAGTCATAAAATTTTGTTTCAAATTTACCAACCTATAGATATTTTTTTAGAAATCAAAAGCTTTTACCAGCAAGAAAAGAAAATAGTAAAAAAAATACAAATTTCATAATTATATCCAGGCAAATTTCCTTACCTAGATAGTGGCAACATGATCTAGCCTAAAAAAGAGTTATTACCTGCTTCAGTAATTGTCAAATTCAAGGAGCTATGAAATGAATCACAAGTCACTATATTAAACAATAAAATTCACAAGAAAATTAAACATTAAAATGGTCACTATATTACGTTCTTATCATTTAAAAGCTTTGTATCACAAGTCATATAATTCATGAGGAAGTGATGTAGTTAAACAAAAAAAACTAATAAATTCATATGTTTTAAGTTGTTTTGTGCACCATACTTACGTTACTTGTAAATATAACCTAAGAACTGTCTCCTACTTTTCCCATCCTCTGAACAGTTCAAACACAAACAGCGTCAATTTGTAGACAGAAATAAGCCACACCCCATCCAACAGTTTACAATAGCTAAAACATGTAGATGGTCTCATCCCCTCTTAAAGTGACTTCCATGAACAAACAGACAATGTGATGTCAGTTTCTTTACTGCATGACCTAAAATTGCAACAGATTCAGTAGGCTACCCTGACAACTGACCATTTGATTGTCTGTCATGACCAAAACTAGAATAGTAAAGTCTTGAGGAACCCTTCCTTGAAGCCTTCATATCCTAAAATCTCTCATGCAGATTATGATGATAGGACAATTGGTAGTAGCTAAATTATCCTCGAGACTAGCTATGGCATTTTCATTCATGTTTCCAAATGTTGTCATCTTTTAGCAAGATCTTTAACTACAATAATGAGAAGAAAAGAAGTAAATGAACTTTTAATTAAGAACTTATGAAATCTAAAGGAGCTGAGAAGCAAGTTTAACCGTAAGGAAATAACTTAAACAAATGAATTGGCAATATAAATAGAACAGAGCCGGTCAAGTAACAAATAAGGTTATCTAGCCTAATTACCTGGCAGTCAATCGAGGTTCCACTTGGTGAATCCAACCAATCAAACAAATGCATCAGGTTGGAGTAGGGAAATTGAATAAGGGATTGGAAAGGTAAGGGGGGGGGGGGGGCCTGTTGGCTATGGTCGTGGCGATCGTCTTGAAGGCGAGAAAGAGGGTGGCGGTCAGGTTTTGTACCGAGGCTCTGCCACTGGCTGAGGGAAGAGGAGAGGAACTCCGCCTGGGCATCCTTTGGCTTTGGAAATGACGGTATGGAGAGGCTGCACTCGGAGCACGCCGTGTCCCCCACCGAATGGTCGGACACCACCGCAGTGCTCTGCGATCAATCTCTCTTGTTTGGTCTAATAGCAACAATGAGTGGTTTACTCAAACTAACCCAAATTGCGAACCGGACAGGTACCAATCGGCTCTCCCCGACCCAGATCATAAACCCTAACGATTGGCCCGGGCCGAAGTAATAGCGAAATGAGATGGCGAACCCCGATCTTGTCGGCCTCCTCCGTCCGGTCGCTTCTCCGAGAAGTCGCCGCCACCAAATCCCTCCCCCAGATCGCCCAGCTCCACCAACACCTCACCGCCGCCGGCCTCACCGGGGACCCCTTCCTCTCCACCAAGCTCCTCGAGCTCTACGCCGACGCCGGCGATCTCCCCTCCGCTCTCAGCCTCTTCGCGGTTCTCCCCTCCCCCTCCGTCTTCGCCTGGACCCCCATCCTCGCCCTCCTCTCCCGCTCCGGCCACCACCCCCGCTGCCTCGCCGCCTACCGCTCCATGCGCTTCGCCGCCATCGCCCCCGACGGTTACGTCTTCCCCCCCGTCCTCCGCTCCGCCGCCGGCCACCACCACCCCACCGCCACCGCCTCCCTCCACGCCGACGCCGTCAAGTTCGCCGCGGCCACCGCCCTCCCCGTCGCCAACGCCCTCATCAATGCCTACTCCAAGTCGGGCGATTTAGCCGCTGCTCGCCACGCCTTCGACTTCGAGGACGGCAGCGATCTCCTGTCGTGGAACTCCATCATCGCCGCCTACGCCATAGCGGGGTGCATCGAACCCGCGCTGGGCCTGCTCGACTCCATGAGATCGGACGGCTACGACCCGGATGTGGTAACGTGGAACACCATAATGGACGGCTACTGCCGCGCCGGTCGCTGCTCGGAGGCTCGTGAAATCTTAGATGCGCTGCCGCAACCCAACGCGGTCTCGTGGACCACCGTAATCTCCGGGTACTCTCGCAGCGGGAATCACGAGGCAGCCCTGGAGATCTTCAGCCGCATGATGCACGCGGGGACTGTTCCACCGGACCCCGATACCTTATCCTGCGTGGCCTCCTCCCTCCGTCACGTGGAGGCGCTTGGGGCGGCCCTCTCGGTCCATGCTTACGGGCTCAAGACGACCGCGGTCGACGCGTTCTACAGAGTCGCTGGAGCAGCGCTGGTCGCGTTGTACGCCAGCCGCGGTCGAATCTCGACCGCCAAAGTGGTGTTCGACATGATGAGCCCGGCGGACGTGGTGACGTGGAACGCCGTGATCCTCGGTTTCGGCCGCGCGGGTTTGACGCGTGTGGCGCTGGAGTACTTTAGTGCGATGCTGTCGCGGGGCATCAGAAGCAACTGCACCACCATCGCCACGGTCCTCCCGCTGTGCGACATGAAGCTGGGTAAGGAAGTGCATGCACACGTGATCAGGCAAAGCGATGCGTACGCCAGCAGCACAGTGCAGAACACGCTGATAGATATGTATTCAAGAGCAGGGTGCGTCGATCGCGCACATCAGGTGTTCGCGAAGATCGAGGTGGACGATGTGGTCACTTGGAACACGATGATCGGCGCCTACGGGGCGCACGGACTGGGGACGCAGGCGCTGCAGCTCGCGCACCGGATGGTGAGGCGCGGGCTGAAACCCGACGCTGTCACACTCACCAGCACACTGGTGGCGTGTGCTCGCTGCGGCCTGGTGGGCGAGGGGCTCGAGTTTTTGGAGACGGTGGTGCGAGATCTCGGGCTCGTGCCGAGCAAGGAGCAGTATGCTTGCGTCGTGGATTTGCTCGCGCGGGCCGGGAGGTTCGAGGAAGCTGCCGGATTGGCGGGAACGATGCCGACGAGGGGGGGGGCGGAAGCGTGGGGGGCGCTGCTGTCGGCGTGCCGGACGCATCAGAATGTGGAGGTCGGCCGGTTGGCCTTCGAACAGCTGCTTCGGTTGGAGCCTGGGAATCCGGGAAACTACGTGACGATGTCCAACATATATGTGAGAGCAGCAAGGTGGGAAGATGCCAAGAAGGTGAGGTTGATGATGCAGAGGAAAGAGTTGTCGAAGCCATCTGGCCATAGTTGGATCGCAGCAGGATCAAGAACAAGATGATCAACTATATATATATATATATATATACAAGATGATCTGCTGCAGGCATTGCAAAACGATGGGCTACTTATGATGCGGCTTTTATGCGTTTTGTTTCAATCACAAAAAGAGATATTGCCAACATACAAGCATAACGATAGTAATTACCACAATTATTTTTATTGGAATTACCGAATTTAGTACCGAATCATCCCCAATTCCTTGAGCCAAAGAAGGATCTCAGAAAGGCCTTCGTGCAAGCTTCTAGGGTTATAACCCAGTTCTGCTTTGGCCTTATCACAGGAGTATGCCCATTGATGTCTCAACACCCTCACAGCCTGCAACAAATGAAGTAGAAAACCAACTGGGTTGAAAGAAGAGTATTCCTGTAAAGCAACCAAAAAAGAACAGTTAAAGAGGATTTCCAATTTGCATACCGGGTAGCTGATAAGTGGAAGCTTTCCTGTGATGTGAGAAAAGAAAACCGATATCCAGCCATAGATTTCTATTATTCCCAGAGGGATATGTAACAATGGTCTCCTTGTTTTGGTGATGGCCGCGACAATGTCTAAAACTTGAACGAGTGAAGCGTTATCTCCAGTTAGCAAGTACCGTTCACCCGGTTGGCCCTTGTGCATAGCTGCAATATGGCCACTTACCACATCTTCAACGTGACAAAATGGCAGCCTATCATTCCCGTCTCCTATATAACCAGGTAATCTCCAATTGAATCGTTCGATCAGCTGCAAAAGGGCAAAGGGAACTTCATCATAATTTTAAAGAGAATGCATAAAGAGTTGCAGATAATTATTGATGAATAGATCAAAAAGGCAATACAGAGCAAAATGCCGATAGAGTTTAATTTTAGACGGACCTCACTACCCCTTAAAATTAAATTCTCAAGGGAGTACCTGCGTTCATACTTGGTTTTATCAAATAACAGAGCAAAATCAATTTAAACCATGCAGTATTAAGTTCACAAACATGCTTATGAAATTTTGAAATATCGGTGACTGTTCTATGCAGTAGCTGGAGCTAGTTTTGTCTACCCAGATACTCTGGAGATGTTAATGCATAAGTTGAGAATCCTAGGAATTTAAATCTATAATGATAACTCCCTCTGGTTAACATGAGAAGGATAGAGCCATAACAGTTATGAATAACTCTGATCATGGTACCTGTGCATCTTTTACCAAGAGTTCAATGAGAACCAGGAAAATGAGATTCTGTTAGATGCTGAATCTGTGCCCTAATCAAATAAAAGATTATCCCTATTTCACAAATTAGCATCCCTTATCATCTGAAAATGAAGAACAGTTCTTACTATTTTTGCAATAAAATTTCCAGATGTCAGTTTCCCTGAACCATAGATGACTCCTGGATAGAGAAGAACAATTGGTGTCCCATCAGCTGCAGCTTGCAATGCAATTCCATCAGCAACAGCCTTGGATTTTTCATACTCCGTGCAAAACATCTTTCCCTGATGCATCTGGAATTACAAACAATAGACAAATGATCTTGTCTTAATTGAACAAGAACCAAAGGACTTATTCTGTGCATTCTAGAAAGTGAGATCCAAAATGAAAAATGACACTTGCCTACTTAGGAGGGAGATGTATAGTCGCAAGACTACTTCTGTGACTGTCTTTATTTGAAAGATTGAATAAACTGATGTGAAAGAATCATGAAACTTGATATTTCATCGAGATTAAAAACAAACTTCAAGAAATTATTAAACCTTTTCCCACTAACTAGGACCAGTGATGTCCACATGCTCTGCATGAGGATAAATATTTATTCTAAACCTATAGAGAAGGCTTTTTTGAAGTCCACCAATAGCTCAACAATACAGACAATGCAGGCAAACAGGGAGAAAGTGGAAGGACCAAATAGGGAACATGTGAGGGGACATTCAACTCCAATCATGTGATGCCAACCATTTTCCAACATTTATAAGGCTACTCCAAAGATGCACTAATTACAAACAACTCATAGAGTTTCAAATAAGGTCAACAAACTAAAAAAATAAGAAAAGTTTTCAAAACTAATCCCTCTGTATCAACAAACTAAAAAAATAACAGAAATAAGGTCAATGTTTTCAAAACTCACAGCAGATTTTTTGACTATTAATAAGAAAAGTACTGTGCCAATCACTCATCAAAGTCTAATGCACCAAAATGAATATGGTAAGAAGTGGCATCATAAACTTAAACTCAGTTGACACACAGCAATTTTCTGCAGCAAATAATTTTTAATTAGCTAGATCATCATATAAGGTTAATATCTCCCGAATATATATGACAAAAGATATTCACTGAAATCTCTGGATAGAAATTGTTAATTCACAATTAAAAAAAATATTACTCAACCTTTTTGAAAGAAAATGATTTACATATTCATGATTAAGTACATTCCACCATGTTTTGCAAAAACAAAAAAATTCTTTTCCGCAGACATTTTAAGTCAGCAACTATGAATTCCATTCAGAAGCATGAGATATCAACTATTTAGCATAAAGTTAGCATCCTAGGTTGTGCATTACTCAAAACACTCCATTGCGAAGTTTGAAGAGCACATGACACTACAAGATTTATCTCAAACACTCTTTTGATGAGGGTTTAAACTGTTGTCATGCAAAGGATGAGATATGAAGAATCAGCTTTGTTAGCTGATTCTTCTTATCTGGTATCAACTATTTAGCATAAAGTTAGCTTTGGTTTAATCAGAGAGCGTTAGCTGTATTTTCAGCTTTGTTTTCCCAACAAGACATCCCAAACATAGCTTCCACTGGGAATAATTACATAGCTAGAGCTTCCTCAAAACTAGAACAGTTGGGAACATCCTTTGTTATTGTCTAAATTTTTTAATTTTAAATATGAATCTGGTTTCCCAAATTAAGGATCAGAGATACCTGTTTCTCGTCTGTCACATAGCCATCTGTTGGTCCAAGAGCAAAAAATGATGACGTATAAATTATCTTCCGCAGCGTTTTCATTGCTTGGAAAGCTTGCAACACATTCCTCAAGCCTCCTACATTCACCTACATTCAAGAAACAGGGAAATGTTTTCATTTCTGTTTTTAACGCTAAAATACAAAGATCCTAAACATCATTCAGATGAACCATACTGTGGAAGAACAAATTCTTGAACCAATTTGTGAAAGATCTGACAGTTAATTTCTTGAATGGTCAAACTAATGCACAAAACACAAGCAAGCCAATATACCTAGCATAGGTAGAAAACTTAGCTTAAACTATTGAACTTTAATTGCAGTTCAATCAAAATCGAACTCTTCGATTCTACCAATCAGTGTCCTATCGATAAACTAAAGACCCCAAAGTAAGGGAAACAAGGGTTTATGTTCACAGCAAAGAATCTGGAAGGATCGAGAATCCAGGGTTCAACGAGGGCGGCGGTGTGGAAGAGGACGTCGCAGCCGTGGAGGGCGTCGATAAGGGAGGGGAGGTCGGTGACGTCGCCATAGGCAAGCTCGAGAGTGGGGTGGGAGGAAGGGAGGGAGCTGAGGTCGCCGCTCCGCCGCACGAAGGCCCGTACGACGTGGCCCTCCTCCAGGAGCCGGTGGCAGAGGCGGCCGCCGAGGTAGCCGGTCGCTCCCGTCACCAACACTTTCACCATTTCCTGATAGACGGAGGAAGAGTTGGGCATCGATTGGTAAAAAGTCAAAAACCACCGCTATATTTGCATTTGAAACCCGCTGACTTTTTTGTTCATAAGTCCTTCACAGATTATTATTTTATATAGTATATCCATTTTTATTTTTTTAAGTGAATTTATTTTATACTTATAGTCGATCTTATATTTTGTATTTAACAAATTTTACAAAATCCCAATTATATTTTTCCAATGAATGTATTAACCTTTTTTATAGTTATAGTCATTTTTTCCATAATAAAATTCCATTTAAACATTAACAGGAATAAAAATCAGTAGTAATCAAGCTGTCTATTTCCTTGATTAAGAGCACAAAGGATAAATCTAATTGATTTGAATGACCAAAAGAGGCTCTTAACGATAAAAAGAAAACGTCCATTAATATATTGGTGTTAGTGACTCTAGTATTTTCAAACGAACAAGTTTTCCTCTGATTATTGAGAAATCATGAAAAAATTGCAGTGTGGAAGGAACTCACGCCATACTGACAGCTTCATCTCATTGAGCATCCCTTTCTGTTCTCCATCCATTTCTGTAGAACATCATGCTGAAATATTATTAGAAAAATACTACAGCAAACTGTCTTCCTCAAATTATTTGCAAGACAACATATTACAGATCAAATGTGCCTGTAAAACAATTCAAAAAATTTAAGAGACATGCTATCTTATGGCACAAATCAAGGAGTACAGATTTCTCAGTGTAGCATCAAGCCGACATAATAGAAGACTTTTGTTGAAATACAACCAAGAAAGCTTTCAAAGTGTAAAAAGTTCGGGAGAATTTAGCAACATCCAAAGATTCCTTGGAAATATAGCAAATATAACTAAAATTTCTGAACAGGAGTTAAAAATATTTTTAAAAAATAGTACACAAATTAAAGACGAGGAATATGACATTTGTTCTAACTATCATCCTCATATTGCGGGAGATTGTCCTCTTTTTTTGCAATGGGACCTGCATAGAGATACATAATCTAATATTCATCAAGACTCTGACGCAAATAGCTGCCACTATCTTGTTTCATCACTAATCACCACATGAGAATGTCTTTTTTGAGGCAAGTCTCAGGAAAACTTTAGTTCTTATACCTTCATGAGATCACCAAGTTTAGAGCTATCTTGGTGCACCTCAAATAGCACATTTTTACATGGTAACACATATTTGCTAAATGTAGGTCAAGTGTAGGACTTAGCTGCATGGCCTCCATAGCAAGGAGTAACAACAGCTTCCACCATACATAGGCATTACCAAAATAGGAAATAACTCAGAACATGCAATATCTGCTACCGCACAAGATGATAAGTCAGCTGCAATTACTTATTTGATCACAATTGCAAGTTATTTATGTTACAGATATTTTCCTTCACAGTGTTCATGAATAAATTACATGTTAGTATCATCAAAAAGTATCTTTCTATACAAGACAGTAGTAAAAGATTTGATCACTTGGAAGTCCTTTGTCTAGTAGCTGTGAACAGCTCTTAACATGTAGCGGGAAGAATATCATAGGATCTCAGAGATCTGCAGGGTGAAAAACTGCCTCAGTCAATACTATGTCATTTCCACAAATTAGCCTAAAAGCTCAACTCACATTTATGGGCATCTCTGCAATGATGAGACCACTGTTCTCCTCGAGCCCTTTAAGAGCCACTACCTCACCTCCAACAACCATGTTGATCACAATCCCATCTGCAGGCCCATCATATTAAGTCATTACTATGAATTCAGGAATGATGTGCTGTACAAAAGGTGAAACGAAAAGGGGAGACCTGCTGCTAAACAGGTTGACATACGTCTCAAATATGTTTCCTGCAGGCAAACACAGAACTTCATAAGCAAATACTTCATTCCATGTTAAAAGAGCTTTACATTTAAACTGAACAAAAAATTGATATAGAAAGCCAACCCTAACAATAGGTCTGCTCATACATAAATCAATTCTATCTAATGTATTTTTAGTCAAAACCAATGTAGGCAAAGGCGCTAGGTGCTAAAAGGCACCAAGGTGCCAAAATGTCGACCCTAGGTGCTCGCAAAGCAAGACGCTCACGAAAAATAAAATTTAAAATATAAATAAGAAAAAAATATGAATAATAAAATAAAAAAAGATAAAATTTAAGTATTATTAACAATGATTAACATTACAAGAGAAAGAAACAAAGGGATGAAGAGGGAGAAGAAGCTAAGAGGAGGAGAAGAAGAGTGGGGGTGGGAGATATTGGTTGGGAGGGTAGCCATAGGGGAGGAGAGAGAGGGGGCTGACAGTTGGGAAGGGAGCAAGAAGACAAAAAGGGAGGGGACAGAGTTACTATAAGAAGCTGCCATTGGAGGGCCACCTTACACAAGAAAGCTGCTTGGCAATTGTCGAAGGGCTGCCTTCACGCACATCATAGGAGGAAGATATAGTGTTCATCATTAGGGTTTAGGAGGAAGACACGATGATCTCACTTTATTCAGGTGCGCGACTGAGCTGCCCAGCGTCTATAGGTAGGTGTTAGAATGATCTCACTTTATTCTACAATCTGCATCACTGAGTTAATGACTGTCTATAGGTTGGTGTTAGAATGATCCGACATCTTTCATGGTATTACCTAATTTGTTATGAACTAACAAAGAAGATGAATAGGATGAAGACACTTTTCTTTCCTTCGCCATCGTTTTCTTCCATGACATTATTATACAATATCTTTAGATGACAATTCATCATCCTTATCAGAATCTGCACCATACTTCCCAGTCTTACACTGTTTTAGAATTAGATCTAAAACATTGAGAATTTATGCGCCTCAGTGATTTCAACTGTACAAGATTGTTATGATCCCTTTATTTTCTGAACTTTTGAATAATGTTTATTGAGTTTGTTTAATTCAGTAAGAGTCGGATAGAGATTTATTTAATTTTTATTTATTATTAAGAGTCCAAGTCCTGGTGGACTCTGGGTGGAACTCTATAAATAGGGATGTAACTATTTCTTTTCGGCAAGCAATAAAATATTATTCAGTCATTTGACGAACCCTAGGATTCTTCTATGATAAAACCCTAAGGGTCTTATCATTTGGTATCAAAGCAGTGATCCTCCACGTTCTCGTTGTAATTTCTCACAATACCTCGTCGCAATTATCATCATCCAAGAAAAAAAAAAGGGGAAAAGGGAAAGAGAACGCAGCCACATCCTTCTCGAGCAAGAAAGAAGCCCGGCCAACGAAACAGAGTCCACCGTCGCGGCTAGCCAAAGTCGTTGCCGCAACCACCACTACCGTCGATTGCCACCACCGCCGCCCCTTCTTCCTGGCCAGCACCCCCCCTCGTTGCGTCGTAGCCGCCCTCCAGCCGTGCACCCTATCCCGCTCAAGCGAGAAAGGGCTGCCACCGCTGTTCCCAGCCAGCAGACCACCCCCTCGCAGCGCCTAGCCTCGGTGACCCTTTGCTACTACTCGCCCTCAACGACACTGCTCCCAGCCGCACCACCACTGCTACCTCTCAACCCCGACTGCAACCTTCCCTTCTCCCAGTGACAGAAACAGAGCATTGTTCCCAGCCGCACCACCACCGCTTCCCCTTCTTCCGGCCAGTGACCACCGCTGTCGCTGCTCTCCGGCTAGCACCCCCCACCCCCCCTTCTCCATCGGCATCCACAATAGCCGCTGGTTGCCACCGCAACAGGGAAGGAAGAAAAGAGGTGAAGCAAGGCAACCATAGTCGTCGGTCCCTCTATTGTCGTAGTTGTCGCTGCTTCCCAACCAGCGACCATCGCTGCCCGCCTCTCAACCGTGACCCTCGTCGCCTTCCCTTGGGTCGCAACCACAACCACTAGATCCACCATCCCTACATCTTCTACCGCTCGACCATCCCCCCTCGTTCTGCTGTAGTCGCCCTCCAACCACAATCGTCGCAACCACCGCAGCCGCTGCAGCCACCTAGGCCTCAACAGCCGCACATAGCCTCCCAGCCCTCAACAGCACGCCTCCTAGTCGAAAGCAGTGTGAGGGCAACCATGCCCCATCCTGCTCGAGCGAGAAAGGGCCGCCGCCGTTGTTCTCGACCAACGGACCACTCCCCACGCTGACGTCGCCTCCTCATAGCGACCGCAGCGCTCTCACCCCAACGCTGCCCCAGGCCAAACTTCACAACAATCGCACCAAATAGTGCAATACTGATGCCCTTGACCCGACACCAAAAACAAGAATCGGAGATTATAGATCTACAGTCTTACACAATGGCTACCAACAACTCAGTGAAAGCCCAATTAGAAGCCTTGGAAACCATAAATGAGAACTGACTACAAGAAACCCTTAACGATTTTAAAAAGAGTCTATTGGAGAGCTTCAGCAAATTTCAACAAGATGAAAGTTCAAGTCTTACATTGAAGATCTGAAGACATAGGAAAAAGAAACCAAGAACAGGACACAAGCTACCCACGCATGAATGTGGAATTTCTAAGATGGGAAGATAAAGATCCAACCAGTTGGATCTCTAGAGCAAAAAAATTCTTTCGTTTTCACATAACTCCAAAAGAATCCAAGGTAGAAATAGCTTCAATCCAACTAGATGGAGATACGATCCAATGGTATGATTAGTACGAAACTTGTCACGGGGTTTCCTCATGGAAGCAATTCAAGAAAGGACTTCTTATTCGCTTTGGACCATCTGAATACAAGAATGTTGATGGGCAGCTCGCCAAAATTCGTCAAACTTCCACAGTGTTAGAATATCAGAAAAAATTTGAACGATTGTCAAATCAAGCCAGAGATTGATCCGAACGATAACTGGTGGGTACATTTATCGAAAGACTTAATCCAGAAATCTGGTGAAGTCAAAGCTCGCCAACCCCACACTATGACAGCCGCAATATCATTTGCACGTTTACATGAGGAAAAAATTAGTAGGGAAAATCGTCAAAACAAAAGTGACAACAAACAGATGATCATCAAGCCACCTGCCCCCATCTATTCCCAACCGGAACCCTAACACCCGGAGGCTAATCCGAGAAGAACTCAAGGAAAGATCAGCGAAGGGTTGTGCTGGCACTGTGATGAAAAGTGGAATAGAGAGCACCGATGTAAACAAGGGCAACTTCTGATGATTGAACCAATTGGGGAGGAACCGAAAGCTAACAATGTGGACTCTGATCATGAAGGTATAGATTCTGATGAAGATGTTGGACCTATCATACATATAGTACATGCATTAGCCGACTACTCTAACCCGCAAACTATGAAAGTTAGAGGAACTTTAAAACATCAGTATGTTACAGTTTTGATCGATACTAGTAGAACTAACAATTTTATGGACAGTAAGATTGTTGATCGATTTGTCACGGACTTAGTTGGAATTGCCTAAGTCGTGAGGCACCCTTGCGGCCAAGACGCGAACTTAGCTTGAGTTACCTAAGTCGTAATGCACCCTTACGCCAACTTCTCAAACTTAGTTGGGATAGCCTAAGTCTTGAGGAGTCCTTGGGATATATGCATCCGCAAAGGTTCAGCCTAGTTGCAACCTCATACAGGTCCCGAAAGACCTGTAAAACAGAAAGTTGATTAGATTGAAAACGAGTGACAGACAAGTCCCGACGTCTCGCAAAGAGGGAAGCTTTACAAGCAATTTAGCAAGCACCTTAAGTGCACAGGAGAAAAGAGAGGAAGAAGGAAAACAAGGACTTTAGAAGGTAGAACGAACAGTTACAAGTCCACAAACAACTGCTCACTGGGTGCCGAGCGCGAAGGCAAGTTCCCGTAAAGAAAACGTGCGAACTTGCGAAGATTGTTCAACACCCGACAATATACCGAAGCTCCATCCAGCCCTATGCCACCGGAGGGGTTCCAGGGTGCTGAGATGGCTGTCATTTCGCGCGTTGCAGCGGGCTACAGAAAACAGCCTGTGACCCGTGAAAACGGAGCCATTTTGGGGCTTTTTGGCCCGACACGGTGAGCGATCGCACTATGCACTGCAACCTATTCGAACATGTATTTTTACAAGCAAAAAACACAGAAAACCAAGGCAAAATATGCTGCCATGTCTCTGTTCAAGCATGCAAAAGCGATGAACAATTCGTTGAACGAAGTTGTTGCGAGTGCGCAACAACCATTCGTGACATTCTCCCCCACTTAAACTGTTGATGCCCTCGTCGACGCTTGTTGGTAGTTGTTGATGATTGCTTCTTTATGTCGTAGGGCGTCTTCGAGCTCCCAACTGGCTTCAGTTCGGGGAAGCTTTCGTCACTTCACCAAGTACTCGGTCTTGTCACGGACTTAGCTGGTTTTGGCTAAGTCGTACGGCACCCTTGCGTGTCCGTCCGCAAAGGTCAGCCTCCCCGAAGCCTCCCATGGTCCCTTAGGACCTACAAAAGATAAACTGGGTTAGAGAAAGCACCTCACTCGGGATCTACAAACAAATATTCCAAGAAACACTTCATAAACAATGCAAATTATAAACAGATTTTACAAGCTCTGAACAGTTGCACAACAAAGGGTCAAAATGGTCCACTACAGACCGAAAATCTCTCACAAGTGCCCACATGACACAACCTTTATTTACAAGCCTAAAGTGGCCACCAAACCCAACTAAAATGGGACTATTAAGCCTTCGGCCGTCCCTCTACATGTTGTGCAAAGCATGAACATACCAAAAGACACGAACATACATAAGCATTACATCAAACATCCTATTTAGAAGTTTGTCCGTGACATTCTCCCCCACTTATTCCTTCGACGTCCTCGTCGAAGCCTTTGCCGACACTACAACTCCATGCCTTTGTTGAGTCTTCAATCTCCGGCTCCAGCTGCAACGTGCCTCTTGGCTCCCAGCTGCTC